TATATATATATATATATATATATATATATAGATAGATAGATATACATTATCTACCAGTAAGTATTTGGAAACCTATGCAAATGACCATATCTGTTGTCCTGAGTTACGTCACGCCCTCCACCGGTATGTATCGTGTAGGGAACAACATCGGCATTAGTCCCATGCAAGATACCACGCAGTTCAGAGCTCTCTGATTTCGAAAAAGGTATAATTGTCGGATATCACAAAAATGGGGGATCCTTAAGAGACATATCTAGCGAGGTGAATTACCCAAAATCGACAATCACTTATGTGATTAAGAAGTGGAAGGTGAGTGTCGGAATGTGCCCCGATGGAAGACCAACGGAACTGGGAGACCGACGGGTGTTGTATAGAGAAATTCGGAAGTACCGCACCCAGCCGATGGCCCACATACTCCAGAAGTTACAACAGGCGTCCGGGAGCGTTGTTTCAATTAATACCATCCGTAAGGAAGCACACCTCTGCTTGGTTTTCATAGTCATACTGCTGCCTATAAGCCTCTGATCTAAGCTATCACAAAGTCCAACAGCACTGTTTGGTTAATGTGGAGCAAAGCACATCGAAATTGGACCTTAGATCAGTGGAAAGCGGTTCTTTGGAGGGAGGAATCAAGGATCACCGTTCGAATGGCAGATCAGACGTATGCCTGGAGAACGTCTCTTGCCAGAATGCATTGTGCCAACAGTCAAGCTCGGCGGACGTGGAATTATGGTCCGGGGGTGTTTCTCCGTGTATTGATTGGAACCCTTGGTCCCCATTCATGGCAAGCTCAACGACGATGCCTACTGCACTATTTTGGATGACAATGTGCTTCTTACGTTGTGACAGTTTTACGAGGTGGACCCCTGTTACTTTCAGAACGACAATGTCAGCTGTCATGCTGCGAGGATCACCAAAGATTGGTATGGTGCCAATGGGGTTAATCGAATGAATTGGCCTGCCCAGACCTCAACCCTATCGAAAAACTCCGGGTCGCCGAATTAAGGGGTGTCCAAAATCAGTGACACGTCTTCTCCAAGCCTAGTGGAAGAATATACCATTAGCCGTCACACAAAGACTTGTGGAATAGTATGCCCTGGGAAGTTCACGCTTTAATTGCTCTACTAACTATTGATTATGAATAAAGTTTGTTTTTCTTTTCAATCACACGTGTCTAAATTCTTACTGGTAGATAGTGCATATATATAATATCTAATATTTATTTTAACTGTGCATCTTTTATTAACAGCAATCTAAACACAATTCATATTTAAGCAATATTTTCGTAAATCCAATAAGTTTAGAAGTTTTGAAATATAAAAAAAATTATAACTGTCACTAAAAATTTTTCTATTTTTGTAATGATATAAGAGAAAATAAAAAGAAATCAAGAAATGATTTTAAAATATAATAAAAAATCTACATTTAAAAATGTGTACACTAAAAGAGAAAAAAATCATTTTTACAACCATTATAATGATCCAACTTAAATGATGGACCTCATTTAGCTATAACACAGACGAAGTACTTAATTTATTCAGTCTCTATAACACAAATTGTTAATGGAGAGTAAGTCATCTGCATATTCTGCTTGAAATCAGGAGGAAACAAAGGAAATTCTAGGAACTTCTGGAATTTTGAAAAATCCAAAAAGAATCATATCTGTGACCAAGAACTCAAGTTTGGGCCAACTCATGAAGAGCTCAATGAGAATTTTTTAAGAGAACTGTGATTCAGCCAGGAAAAGTTGGAGAGATCTCGATTCCCAAATACAAAACTAAGGAA